ATAGGTACTGACGTTCTAGCAGTTTTCGTGGCAAATGAGAATAATCAGACAGCCGCGGAAATGGTAAAGGAATAGTGTGAGCACATGTGTCGCAAATGTTCGTGGGCTGAGATTTCAACACATAATCAGGTCAGCAAGCCGCGAACTGTGAAAATAAAGTTCTGCCTATACTTAATCGGTAGCTGCGTCCAGAAACAACAACTTCTGATCACCCGTTCCTTGTCAAGGTTCAAGTGGCGATATTGGAGACTGACGTTTATCACGTTTTTAACATTCGCCACAATGTGTTTTCCAGCTTTTTATTCTTCCCTTCTTGTTTTCTTAGATGTTTTCCGTTGATACATCAAAATTGACTTGATGTACCATGAACCCTGCGAAATTTCCAATTACAGATTTTCCAAAATCCAAGTTTGATGATGATGGAACTTCCGGCGGAAATTAAGATATTTGAAACAGACGTCGTTTATAAATGTGAAAGCCAAATCAGTTTTACTAGGATATTTCGGCCGTTGTGTTTGCAGAAACTTGATTTCCAGTTGAGCACAACTAAAATTCGCGACACTCCATAGGGCTATTACTCACGAGTTTCTCTGAAAACGTATGCTTCTCTACTCTCAACAGATACATCATTCCTTCTGGGTAAGAAAAAGGTAGCGTCCACCGAAATTTTCACGAGAACTGTTTCAGTATTTTTTGCAGTATTGATTATATGGTAATCTCTATACAAAGAGGCTCTTGTGAGAGCAGTATCCGAGGTAAGAATGACTTGGAGACAATCTCACACTAGGGCAAGAGGTAATCAACGCCACTTATCAGTTTGGATAAACATCAAGCTCAGAAACTAATGAATAGGAAACCACTAACCAAAGGAGGGAACCAAACGCATTGTGTTACCTAGCAACCGATACGTTTAGATTCCAAACACAGTTCACTTCTGGCGTACGAAACGCCCGGGTGCGCCGAGAATATAAGTGGATAGGTAGTCGTGACCAAAAACTGGCATAGTGATTTGTTTCTAAGACGCATGCATTGCATCATCTAGAACAATGGAAACTGGTTGGTCAGTTTCGACCCGAGATTGTGAAATAAGTTAATACAGTGAAGCGGGTTCGTAAGCATTTATTTTAAGACTTGCAAGGAATAGTGATTTAGTATGTATTTCACTTCCATGCTAAACACATACGAATACTTGCGTAAGTTCATGTGTTTTCACGGAAAAACAAGAGACACACGAGATATGCAATAACTTATATACTGTAAATATATATATACACTAATCAAAAATACCATTATTCATGCCCGATCTGAAAATACCTTCTGTTTGCTTAGTAAATGCCTTCGCGTACCTGTCGACAAACCACAATGCTCTAGCAGGTAATGCAACTAGTTTGAAGCCTACATAACGGATGTGAAAAATGAACGTTTTGTACAGTACCGAAGTGCAATTCGTTGAATTTTACAGAAACGTTTTCAACCAATATGCGTCTCAAAATTTCAGAAGAACGAACAAATCGGGCGACGTTAGATATAATCATAACGTACTATCAAGATAAAATAAAATGTGTGAAGGACTAGAGAGAATATCCCGCGATATTGCTGAAGAAATCGAAGAAATTCGCTGAATTTGGTGTTAACTTGGTCTACTTTCGGTATTCTGTAGCTGTTCTCCGTTCCAACAACCAAACACGCAACATCTGGAATGCTGTTTTTTCAATGGGGCCCCCTGATATATCTGTTGTAATTTTGGAGTAAAAAAACCCGCCACTATACTTTCGCGTGTTCCTGAATAATTGAAATAACATGGGCAGAATCCAATAGTGAAACTGGAGTGACTAACATCTTTACAACGGATGATCAAGTTACGAGGAATGTTTCTGTTCACCTGACTTTTCGGTGCTCTATGGGATGATGAACATACATTTGATACACCGGTGACAACGTGGTAGCAGGATGACGACCGAACTATTTGTTTCGCTTTCATTATTAATGGATCATTTCCTGAAAAATGTGTGCTTGAAAATGGGGACTCCTTAGGCTTCCTCAACGTCAATCAATATAAATTGGTAAAATATTCAACACTGTCCGTGAAGAAAGAACAGTCTTTCGATGTACCCGTTAAAGGTTTTCTCATATCAGTGCAAAGGTTGAATGTTTTTAAAAGAGGAATGCTGCAGAGAATCTAACAATTCCGTGCGGACTCCGAAAAATTTGCGCTGTAAAAGGTCTCATTTTTTTGTAGATGCATGTATTCACTTGTGACTCCTTTCCCTTACTTTTCAATCTATCCTATCTATCCATAAAATCATCAGGGTCATCGGCCGATGGCCAAAGTATGGAGATGTTTGAAATCCTATGAAAATGTTTGGGGCCCTACAAGTTACGTGAATGTTTCACTAAGTACTTGAAGTGTCCACAAAACTTCAGGTAACCGTGCATTTGAATTACGATGCTGGCCACAAGCCGAAAGAGCCAAAAACTATTCTCTTGTCGATCGTTCTAACCCACTGTTTGCATTCCCCACAAAACTTCAGGTAACCGTGCATTTGAATTACGATGCTGGCCACAAGCCGAAAGAGCCAAAAACTATTCTCTTGTCGATCGTTCTAACCCACTGTTTGCATTCCCGGTTTTTCGCTCAACTTTGACTGAGATCAGCGTTTCACGTCGTTTCACTGAAGGATCCCACGTACATATATTCATTCGAAGCATCTATTTCAGCGGCCATAGAAATGAGCTTAGAAATACAGAAAGTCTGTTTAGTTCCAGCGCTGAATACCATTAACCTACAGTGAAAAATGAAACTTTATCCACACTGTATATTTTTATAGCACACAGTGTCTCACAGTCATGCTACATTCTGCACAGTCTATTCCCTACCGTCTTCTGCAAAAACTTCAGATGTCTACTCTATTTTATTACTCTATCCCATTACTTTATCACTCTGATAAGCTTTTGCTTACCTAGCAAACAGCAGTTTACTGAAAACATTGAGCTGTATCTGTATTCGTATTCCTGACAGATATATACCCACGGAATGACATCTAGGTACAATTTTGCTCGAAACTTCATCCGTTGTGATGATAGTTACTGTATCAGCGAAACAGACTGTATAATTTTCAAACGCAGTTTGAAAGTATTTGTCCATTTTTCCTGCAGATTTTCTTCCCCTTGGCTCTGCAGTTTTTTGTAACAAACCGTTTATCGTACACGATATGGTCACGTGATGCGCATTCCGTGTAAAACAGTTAGTAGGATTGGCATTTAAACGTGAACCGGAAATGCATTTTGTGATGTGCTACACCCCAACCTATAAAGGTGAATTTTACTTAGAACTGTACTCTGTGTTAGCCAGACAGTACTGATCAGAAATCGAAGCAAGCCAAGTTAGAATTATACAAAAGAATACCAACCCACACGCGAAGAAAGCCTCTAGGTACTTGCTTGAGTCAATATACATGAGAAAATTAATCACGGACAACATTCGCCTTATTGACTGCTATTTTCCTTTCGGATCGAACTTCCTATATGGCTTGTGTGGCTTAAGATCCTGCTCTATGTGAAAGCAGTCCATGAATTTCCTCTAACATTGTCCGACACACTACTTACAAGAGGAAGGACGTATTTTCACGAACGGTGTTTTGCGACGTATTTTACCAAGCCAACGCATCTAATTCACATGTTTTAACACGCTGTTTTAGGGCCCTTAGAGATAGTTCTTAGTCGTTGCGGCAGCTTACATTTTCTTGCAACAAATAACGCAGAATCCATAGAAGCCGATCCGATTCCGCTGCTGAAAATAACTTCTGTCACTGAGAAGTTAGTTTTCTGGAAAACGAGTGATTGGTGACGATATGTGCAAATTTTGCGATGTGCTTTTTAATGTTTCTCTTATGGCTACGTTCAAGTGGAGAATGCTGAATGGATTACTTTTGTTCCTGGTGTTTTCAGAGTTGGAGTCAGTCAACCTAGCACAAAGGCGCAAAAAATCCAAGTTTCTAGTGGCCCGGTTCAGTAACGCAAGCCATGAAATCTCCTGAGAATAGTCTTTTTCCTATTTAACAACTTCCAAGATGGCTGACACTTATGTGCATTCTCTCATTATCCAGTGCGTCGTGAATGATGCAACTTATCTGCTTTCACCTGACCGATTTCGCAGTATAATGTCTGCTTAGGTCAATCAACTCAGTGTAAATGAAGCAAGACTAATTACGTTACACTTGACAAGCGCTAACAAATTGTTTTACCACATCATTATTTCCGCTGCCAAGGAACTGATGGGGCTACCCTTGGATTGCGGGAAGGTGTTAAGGAAGCCACACCAAACACTCGTAACGGTTTAGCCCCCCTCCACACTTCACTGTGTTTCGATGGGATTGATCGATTCTGCTGAGTAAGAAATTCCAAGCCACAGCTAGTGTTTTCTCATCGCTTTTCCACTGCACTGATTAATGGATTACTGAATGTGAAAGGCAACGGAGGTAGTGGCAGTAACTGTAATGTCTACGAAAGCTGTGTAAGACGAGTTATTATTGATCAAGCGCCTGCTTACAGAAATAGACGTGCTTATGGATTTTGTACTTCTTATTAGACATTCAGCTCCATTAATATTTTTATCGGCTCCACTCTATTACTTACTGCCATCATTCCCTCATAGATCATTGCGGTAAGATCTGTCTCGAGAATTTGCATCCTCGTGTCACTAGTGAATTTGGATTCTTTATGTTTCCTGCCTGTTCCCGTCAGAGTAAAATAATGTTTGTATGAAACCTGAATGAACCCAAACCTGAGGCCTGAATTGGAACTGCAATTAATCAACAGATTCTTTGTGAACAAAAATGTGTGTATATTGCAATCACAGATCGTTGGAACAGCATCATTCCATTCAGAAAAAGGATATTTTTCCGACCACTTCTAAAGAATTTCGTCAAGCACGATTTACACAACCATGCATTCAGTTCTTTCATAGCTCAGTTGCAAACCGGATTACTGTTTAAAGTCAAATGTATTTCCTGCCTAGAATTAGTGGCAATCTTCTTCCAACTGGTCAAGTTGGGCCTTTCGGTAAAATCACGCCTCCTGTTGGAGTTGACGCGCTTCATGCTGGTAATTATCGGTTGCACTTGATGTGTAATTTCAACAAAATATGCAGAACAAGCCGAAACAAAAGTAACGGATTCCCACGAATCTGAAAATGTTTTTCCAAAGCGTCATTTGCAGGGCAGTTTTGTGACCTGGATATCATTCAGAAATCTTTCAGCTGCGATAAGACGTACAATTCAGGCGGCTAAACTTTGGTGTTTGGTTTGGAGTCAAACCACAATTGGATTGTATTTCACCCAGTCGACAGGGGCACATCGTTGATTGGGATACTTTATGTTATTCCATTCACTGGGTGCAGAAAACCCATCCAAGGCGATCATAATAGTTTCGTGATCGCCATTAGCATCCGACTCCCCACTCCCGAACTTTGTGCACAGGAGAGTGTCCTCTAGTCATTCCTTCTTGTTTGCAAGGAGCCCACACCAAACCTGTCAACTTGCTGTTAGATGACCCATGTTCTTACGTAGGAGCAGATTTTCCTATCTCAATAGTTTTCTTACCACGAAAGGTTCATTTCAACTATACATGATCTTATATATCGTCTGTTCAGTCAGTTGACTCATCGTAAACCTGTGTTCGCATAGCTTCGCTTTTCTGGCACCAGTGTGGCAATTTTTCATTATTGAAAAAGTGCCAGTTTGGCTCTGTCGCGTAGTTTTCCAAGATCAAAGTCTTTGTGAAGTTATGCTAGAGGTATCCATGAAGAATTTAAAGTCTCAGCTGAAATTCGACGTGACGATCTGATGACGTTTTCTGCGTCAAAATGTCGTTCTGTGTAGGCTTGGCTGATTTTGTGGTGAACAGTTCTATTAAAGAACCCGAAATTCCTACGGCAGTATTTTTCTAAGGATGTACTGCGTCAGTTTCCCTTGTTGTCATGGTTTTCACTGGGAGACGAGTAAAGTATGGGGAATTAATTCGTTCCTTTGGTTGGATGTCCGCTCATTGGCCGTGGCGGACTGTAGAAACAGCGGAAATGGCCAGTGGTTGTGGCACTTTAATTTTTCAATCAACAAAGATCTATTCGTCTGAGGATAAGCACCAACGTCTCAACGTTGGTGACAGGTAATCCAATGACATGGTCCCGCCAGAGCTGTATTTGCCACTGATGATTTTTCGGAATTTTTTATGGAGAATTTGCAATCATTTCAACTTCCCATGCGTTATATAATGTTGCTGATTTAAAACGCTATTTGTCAGACGGGTGAATTTAGCCACACGAGTGCATTACAAGCCTAAACTTGGAACGCAAAATTCATTAGTCACTTGTCCATCTGTTTGTTATTGGTAATGTGGTCTCGTGGTGGCAGATAGGAAGGTCGCATTCACACCCGGTAGCATTACTGGGATTCATGAGGTTCCTTATACCGCACTCCACACACAAATGGCGCTCTTATACACCGTGGTGACTCACCTACTATTTCATCATTCGTTCATGTATAAAATTGAGAAATTTTGTCGTATTTTTACTGAAGTGGCGGACGCTTTTCAATGACCAGTTAAGATTAAACACACACTTCAGTTAGCGGGAGCTGGTATTTACCAAGTGCCAAGTATGCTAACCTTAAAAGAAGTAGTCTTAATCGTAGAGGCACTACATCGTCACACAGTGTGCTCGTATCAGTCAGCGGTCGCCTTTCAATTCCTTCCTTTTATTAACACCAATGAGATACATTGGTGAACATGCTTTGTAGATTTTCAAAAAGTCAGTTTCACTAATTTTCTGAAACAGGACTTGCAAATCTTCAGTCGAACATCTTTGCTTTGCTGAACAAATGTTTCTACGCATAAAATTGATGGATATGCGGTTAGTAGTTTATGACTAGGGTTTGGTTTGATCCCGTCTTTAGGACCTGATATAAGGGAGATTGCATAATCTCAATAAGTCCAACAGTCAACAATACAATGAATTGTATCAGCTAACCAATTCATTCAATAACAAAAAGTTTCACTCTTGATATCGTAAAAACCCTAGATCTAAATATCAGAGACATTTCTGGTGATGCAATAAAAAACGTATACATAAGTGTTATCAACCATTTTGAGAGGAAAGAACCATCTTGTGTTATGGTGCCGCAAGGTGTTTTCGTATTTCCCATTTTCAAAACAAATTCCTGCTCACATGTTGAGGTACACATTCATCTCGATTCACTCAGTTGACAATATAGTGACGACAAGAGTGAGTCCGTTTAATATCGGAAACGTTCCGAGGCAAAGTCATGCATCCAGCACACCGCAATTCAATTGTAACGTGTGGTTTCCGTCATTTCTGGATACGTTTCAGAAGGTTTACCAGTGTTGGTGGCCCGGCCAGTTTCGTGCAGGCACACATTTTCCTTTTCACCATACTCCACACAATACAATGTAGAGTGCTTCATGTTTTCAGCCACAGAAACAATGAAGTTGAAAGCACAATAGGACAAGCGTAACAATGAATTCCAGACAAGTATTCGTGAAGCAACCTAGGCAATAGTCCCAGATGTATCAAACACAGCTTGTTTTGCTCAGGTCATCTGTATCAGAAGTACAGGTGAGCAGCAGCGGTGAACAAAGCCGTCACACAAAAGCGCATACACTGAATTACTTTTTTGAAATTTCTCGAACACATTCAAACAGTGAAATAAATGGAAAGTATTCAAGAATAAATAACCGCCAGTAAACGGTAGCTAAGGGAAGCAAACCCTCCATGCAGAAGTGCTGAAACCTTCCATATGAGAGGAGAAAATGCCCTAGGATAAGATTAGCATGTTGACTACCATGTATGCGGTGGCTTGAGATAATGTTTGAGGATGCCACCTGCACACACAGACAGACAACTTCCAAAGGTACATAGCTTACTTTGGTTTGAATAGTGATCCTTCATGCTCTTTTAAGGAAACTCTCTGAAAATTCTAGAAGATGGAAAGAATTCGATGTTGTATTGATGAATTCAGTGGTTTTGCGCGTGGTGCTTTAACAAACTTCTGGAGATGCGAATGCCAAAAGTGTTACACGGTCTCCGATGCTGAGGAATTGTCAATTAACTTGGAAGACTGGGGGCTGGCAATGCCGTAGTAATCGAACTCTATTATTACTGAATAAACTGTGATAAACTGATAAACTGAATAATTCAAAAAATGTGTAGAAAATGAAATATATATATGTGGACAAGCGTTTCAAAGATGCGTTCTGGTGGTTAAAATTTGATCACCATGGCTTGTGCGAAGGAAACTTGTTAATCAAATTACGGCTTGTAGACAATTTTTAGTTTTGGAAGTGCCTGGGTGTACTGGCAAACGGTCCAAATTCAGCACCCCTGAACATTTCACTTCTATTTCATACTTGGGTTGGCTTTCCTAAATGCACTAAATGAACAAAAACAGGACCAACAATTATGACACTGAGAACCTTTAGGCTATGTGAGGTCAATTCTACTGCAGCCGCCTATGGGACCATTCGAAAATGATATCATCATACAGTTCCAGACTATAAAGAGTACGCTTTCGAAGGTTTTCGCCCAACAAAATCGGTGTTTACATGTTAGCCCAGTAGCTTTGTAATACCCAGTATGCCGAGCGTGTCTGAATGTTGGTATATGGGTATTGTTTTCGGCTGCTAATCAGTTGTCAGTTCATCTGATCACCAAGATTAGCGTTAGGACTACGAACGTTAGGTCACCATGGTGGGGCACATCGTCAGCGCGTTTTTGAGACGATAAGACCTCCAAATCGACTCGCAGTGATACTGGTCTCCAAACGGTGCAACATGTTGCTAGTTACATCTTTGGAACAAGCAGAACTATGGGAATTACTCATCCAACCACGCACCGAACTTGCTCTCCAGATTGGTGACAAAAAATTAGCAAGACAGTTGTCAAAATCGTCGACAGCGCAGACGCTGCCTGATGTAAGCAGACAACAATCACTGTGTGCAGTTTACTTGATAAAATGAAGCACCTAGTGAGATAAATTTGTCAGATACCATGAAAAAGGGCCCATGGGGACTCATTCTTTGGATCAAGTCGTTATGGTAACTCTCTTCAAAATCGTCTATTAACGGTCGAATCTCGCATACATCTGTAGGGATGAAAATCCGAACGAACCGGGGTTGTCACATGGTCCCTTTAGACACGCATTTTTGCCTATTATGTTGCTCTGTATTATCTACTGAAATTTTGATTTGCGTCAATGCAACTACCATGCGTTTGCATAAAAAATTGCCTACAAGGTAGTTGAAAATTGTTCGACATCTCACTACCGGCGTAACGGTGAGACTACTGACGGGAAAGCACGCGAGTAGTATGTGTTGTTCGTAGAATTTCGCTTTGCGTGTATTGAAAAAGGGAGATGTGTTGAGGAATTCGTGGAGCCGCTTTGTAACATTTGCTTGGATTTGGCCAACGAATGAGTGGAGTCAATGAATCTCCAGGAAAGTTCAAGAGGACTCGTTCGGGAGAAGATCGGTGTCCAGTTTTTGTAACTAAGATGCAGATTAGAGTTTTGCTTCCCTGTTCAATGGTCTGTAACCGGTCAAGTTGGCATTCCGAATAAATAACTCTGCAGTGAAAGCCCTCTTCCTTTCACCGGTTGTACTCCTCTTAGGGCTCATCAGGGGGTCGCAGCCACCGAGTTTGTGTCAACCTTATGTTCCAAGTGAGTCCTTATTGCAGCACACTAATTGGAAGAAGATCATAAACAAAAGACACAATAGATTCCTTCCTGAAGACCCAGCCGAGATCATGCGTTTGCCTTCAATGATTTGATACTTGTAGTGCAGCATACCGACTACTACACTACTACTCATCTCTAGGGAAGTCAGGGCTGGCGTGACTTGGCAGGGGATCTACATTCTTATGTGTCGACATACACCAACGCATGCTTCGCCGAACGCGGACAACGTGGACATTTTAAGTATCCGGTAAATAATGAGTACAGATACTGGAAATTGAAGGCATATTTTAGGCAAAAATAATGCAGCCCTTTTGACGACATTCGCCAGTAAATTGCAATCGCTTGCCCGCATGTGTACAGACAAATTGGTGGAACATTTGTTTATAAGCTCTTTGTACGTTTGTTGTCAATTTTTCCCGTCAATGCATACAGTCATGTCGTTCATTTGACACAATCAGGTCTTACAATCCTTGTTTTGCTAATACTTCAAATAGGTCACAAACTAGTGTTGTCTTCCGTCTCTCTGAACACAGTGTGTCTAGGCATAAGATTTCTGATGAGGCGGATACGTTGATGCTTGGTTGTGTTTTCTTTACAATGTTTATTAATACCCTAGGCTTTTAAAATTTGTTTTGTGGCAATTTGCTATTGGACGTGTAATGCAAGGAGGAACTCCGTTCATATAATATTGCCATGGCTCGGATGTTCGTTGATTGTGTTTGACATTTCCATGTAGTCATATTTGTTATACCATAATCGAATCAACACAACAGAGTTTCACACATCAACACGTTTTCTGGCGAAAAGAACGCTGTTGATTGGTAGATGAGGTTAAATTGTTTTCCGATGGCATGAGCTTGCTTTTCGATGGAAAGCTTACGAGTCAGTTGCTTTTTCTATGCTTTACGGTGTGTTTGTAGTTCCCCCCGTTGTTCCCCGTTGTTTGACTGAGGACTACACACTTCTGAAGAAGTCAAGTAAATCGCCATGAATCTTGTACTTAGAACTTACCAGTATATTGTGTTATGGTGTAGTAAAATATGGCCTAGTATGGTTCAATAGCTTGGCCTGAAATCTGCTCCAATTTTGTTTGTATTCAGGCGACGCAGCTGCAGAAAACTCCTGTCAAATGTTACCGATGAACTATTCATTCAGCTTACGTTTAGGCCACTGACTTATCTGATAACCTATCGTCGTATCTTAACAGGAACTGAAATTGCTGTATTAACTAGCTCTGTTAATTTAAGCATTTCCCAAATGGAAGAAACAGAGTTTGAACTGCTAATTTTTTTATTTTGCGCTTATCGTATGTTTTATTTCGTCGCGATAACATACCGACAAAGTTCAATGCGTAATTCAGAAATCACGAAGTGTGAACCACCATAATCACATGGTGTAATGAAAACAGGAGAGTCTACAGGTTACCTAACATGATTTAAATTTTATTTACTCAATATAGTGAGCAACTGTACGACGGCCGGATGGTTTACCAGTCAACCTGCGGACACTAAAAAGGATAAAACTACAAACGACCGTCCAATTTGTATTTTACGACTGAAAAATGGTTCATGTGCTCAAGAGAACGAGAAGTTTTATGTCCGCTTCCTTGTTTACGAGCCCAAAAACGCTTCTTAAAACCGGCAAAAATAACATTGAATGTGGCAAACTCACAATCATTGCGTGATAATTCAGCTCAGCCAGAGAAACAAACTATACTCACACAAGCTGGGTTTTCTTTTGACGCTAACTTAGTGGCAGATTTCTTTCGACTTCCCAGAGGTGAAGTGGTCTTACCAATTCAAGTGTGTTTAACTAATGAATTTGCATCTCAGGATTGGCATTTCGATCTAAATATGGTAGTGTGCAGTTGTCCTGAAAAGCTGATGACTTTATACGATAAATGAGTAACTCTGAGTTAACTAGGACTCTCTTTACATTCCGGAGTACTACCACGAATATCGTATCGGAATGCATAACAAAAATCGATACTGGTTACAGAGTTACCAGTTAGGGAATAATCTGTCAAAACGTGTAGTTTGTACAAGTATTCTTCTGTTTCATTAGATCAAATACTGAAACATACAAAAATTGCACAAAAATAAGTCACTTCAGAAAACAAACAAAAAATAACCAAGAAGAGGGAGTAAACTGACGAAATTTGTTTCATGAATTTCCAACAATGCATCTGACCCAGCATTTGACTTGATCAGTTGTCAGGTTTCAACGACTATTTCAGGATTCCTACAAATTTTCCAAGCAATCTAATAGAAGCCGTTAACATTATGTTTGTTTCGCGCATATTCTGGTGATATAATTGGATGTGGAAATCCGTCTAATCCAGAACTTTGGCTGTGACAGTTTCACTTGTCTGGGTATAAGGTCCAAACAACAAATCACATGGCTGCGAAAGGGTAAGGAAATGGATTAGGAAAGCTTCCAATTGGAGTCCTTCGTCCAAAACGATTATATCTTTTTGTGTTCTTTGTATGCAACGTTTTTTCCGCTGGACAAAAATGTGTTCATCCCCTATTAATTATTCAAACATACATTCTATCCAAGACTGTCCAAACGTGTTGATAAATACTGGTGCATACAAATGTTGCAGGCAATTGTGCTGAGATTCTGGTGAAAGGAGCAACATGAAGACAGGCAACTCTTTGGCATTCTTGGTTTCCAAGGGACAACGACGTCTTCTTGTTTGCAAATGGTTTCGTATAATTTATCCTCGGTAATGTTGGCTGGGACACCTGCCAATTTACATCATGAGTAAAATTTGGGAATTTTTCCCGAAACCAGGATTGAACCGATTAGACATCACCTGTTTTGCACTAGCTTACAAGAAATAGCTGAAAAGTTATTCTTTCCAGTAAGAATATGTTTATAGATTATCTTGATACACGTCGGTGCTTTGGAAAAAAGCGTCTGCAAATGAATGTAAAATTGTTTCTGAATACTGAAATGAGACATCAACTGACAATCCACAATCTCTGTAATTCAGCATCCTGAGTGGGTTGTTTATTTTGGTGTTCTTATTAAGCCATTCAAAACCCTTACCCCAGTTTTTGACAAGCTCCTACTTTCAGGCGTTTCACCTGATTGTATACAAAGTTCTTTTACTGACTTTTGTGTGGTCTTCAATTCTGGAAGCTAACTGTACATTTTCCAGCGGGTTACTAATTTATCCCGTCATTTTTTGAAACCAGCAACATAATATGCTTTCTTTGAAATGTTACTAGTTGAGCGGCTAATAAAAAAAACTTTGACGGTGAACCGCTATTTCCCCTATAATGGTCTTACCAGATGGCATAATTCGCGGACTGCGTCTCTCATCTGAACACATTCAGTCATGCATCCAACCAAAGAATTTCTCATTGGTACCAGTTAACGAAAACCAAATAAAGAGGCGAAGATCACCGTTAGAATGAAGATCCAAGCCCAAATAAGCTAGGTTCAGCAGAATGAAACGGAGTTCAGATATGCCAGCGAAATACTAACCTGCAATATGTATTCGAATTGCAGTCCACTGATGCGTTTCACATGCTGTATCCTACATTCCTCCACACATAACTCGTGTCCAGAGCCCTTACAAATCATGTGTTAAGCGATCGGTTTGATGTGAGTGGGCCAGCTTTATGCTTCTCTCCATCATGTAATTTAAAAGAACAGTAAACAAACTAACGCAGCCCCCACAGCAATCAACTCAGCTGGTTAACCGCCCAATAAGCACTACCATACTTCCATGGCGACCCAAAAAGCGACACATAGGCCAGTCCAAATTGTTGCCTGGTCGTCTAATCTTTCATGGACACACTTAAAATTCAAGGTTGACCAAACATAGTGAACAATCAAACGGCTCCTGAAGTAATGGGTGGACGTAGCAGAGACAGATGACTGGCAGTGAAACAATGGCTCAAGACAAGGAGTGACTGTTGCATTTGTTAGCTGCATCTTCCTACACAATTGGGCACCCACAGGAAAAAACTTACGCATTCTTATCATTCGGCATGCGCACCGAAAGCCCGAAAAGTGCTCTGACGTCGACACTTAACAAAATTGGGAAAACTGAATAGAAATAGGGTTTGCAGGATGGTTTAAGAATTATGTGGTGCGCTTTGAGTCGGTCACATAGTGCTGTTACAGATTTAGTTTACTAACGATGCAGTGACCATAAAACAGTTGGTTTAAAATACAGAAATCACCCACACTCATATTAAAGAAGGTTTTTGTTTCAATCCTCTCATGTGAAGCACAAAATAATAGGTAAAGTTATAATCAGAAGCCTTAGGGATTAGGTTGATTTCTTATACGACGGGATTCTAAATTGTAAGAGTTTAAATTTCGAGTTGATCAGGCCAAAGAATCCTCTCATAATCAAAATCTATGTCTCAACCCATGTTGAACATGGTATAAATTTTTCAACCATAGTTCGCCCATATTTGGCTGGCATTTCCTTCGACTGCAGGAAAATTAGCCAATCAGCGAAATCATCGAGTGTTTTTGGCCTCACTCAACAGCATGAACACGTTTCAACAAATATATACTGATGAACCATTCGATTGCGGCGCTGATTCTGCTCCCTTATTTCGATCAGATCAGTGATTCCTACAGCAAATAAGTAGGGTACACCTTCTTTATCAGCTTCTGTTGCCTTTAACGGATACATGTGTGATCATGAGACCTTAATTTGAGCAAGTTCAATGGAAATCAATGCGAGCAAAGTAGATAACAGACATTCCGCACTAGATTTTGACTTCCTTTCTTGAGCGAATCTTTACTTGGTTTCAATACTAATGAGCAATCATCCTTATCCCATTTTACACATTAGATCACACTTAGTAAAACTAAATACTAACATCAATATCCTCTCATCATTGTTCTTCAGATAATGTTCTTATCAATGTACAACTGGAGTTACGTGTTCCACTGTTCTTCAGCGCCTGGATAAAGAAAACGTACAACCCCGGTGTACTGGAAACACGGATGCCGTATGTGAGTTATGCACTTTAGACAACTTTCAGTGGAATTGCGCCGCAATGATTTGACATGACTGCTATGGGGTTGGCAATAACAACAATCAACTAACTAATATCACAAACGAGGGATTTACTGGCTAACTTGGTTATCATCAATGTGATTTTCAAATGTCTATATCACGGTACTTGTTACAATTCGCAGACGGCGCCCGCCTGATGTATCCCAAGAACAGGTAGTCTTATGTCAGTGGTTTTGTCGACCTTATTGATGGTATGCCTTGTCAAGCAAGGATGTTTTAATATCTTCAATTTCACGCCAAAATAAGCATGCGGCTGCCCTTGCGCTGCAAATTTATTTGAAGAATATCTTAAAAGATAGACCAATTTTAACTGCCATTTCTAGTCAGTTATCGTGTGGGATGAGACCGGTATAAAACACCAGATTACGTAGCGGGCCCTCCCAAGCCGAAGAGAAACTTGTTTCATGAAGATCCAACGATACGGATGAAATCCCACTTTTTAGTGGCATATGTCAACGGTGCTGGAAAGCCCAATCGATAAATCAGTCTTCTGGGAATTATTTTCTACAAGAACAAGATAAGACGAATGAAAGGTACCTTTCTCACATCCACTAGTCATAGTTATGCATATATATATGTGACTATAAATAGAAATATATTGGGCACTGCTAAATCCCTGAGGTTCAAGAAAAACTCATTCAGAAGGTGCCTGAAAAATAGCACAAGCTCAATGGTGTGTGATCCTGTTGAATTGACTGACCGGCAAAGTGCATGTCGGCATCTTAGTTAAGGTTTCGTTATAATATTCGGGTTGGCGATTCCTTGTAGGATCGTGTTCTGCAGTAATTAGTATCTTCGTAGACTTTGGCAAGTGTCCCGGAGCAAAGTTTTTGCACCCGTTGTTTCGTGTCCAGGAAATGGGCCAAAATGGGACTGTGGATATCACACCGGTGTTCGTTCTGGGAGCTAGTTCGGAGACTTTCGGATATTTGGTTGGACAGTTACTTCGTTCAACCAATATATGTGACACCAAATAGGCAACCAAACTGATACGCACACACCAATACGGCTGAACGAAGTAACATATTCTTCACTATTTCTGTGGCTACTGTGTCTTGTAAAAGACACGTCTGATGAAGCTAAGAGGTGTGGTCTTAAAAAGGCTTTTTAAAATTTCAACGGATACTTTGTTGGTCAAGTCGCATTTGAGAGACAGGCGTAAGTGAAAAATTTGCAGCTTTGAAGGCTTGAAGGCCACCCACACTTTGACAAATTGATCTAAACATGCGTTATCCAGGAAACACGTTTATTAGAAATCTTGGCACCTCTTTGAGTGCCTCGAGAGAAAATATTTCTACATCCGTCGAATGAACATCTCACCATGTTACCTTTATTGTATAGTGGCAGAAGGGTACAAGCTGTGTTTAGAGGGAAAGTGACGGCCTTGTTGACCGCCAACTCGGGCTCACTTGCGATCCAAATAGGACGCTATCTCAGCGAAATATACCCGTTTGCAAACAAACTTCGTAGGATGTTATGAAATGTAGGTAGCTTGGGTGCGATGCTAGGATGTTGGTCTGTTCGCCGAGCTCGGCAGTTGGACTGCAAACGTTTCATCACCAATCAGGGGGACATCGTCAGGGTGACAACAACCAAACCAATTTGATTTTGCGAGAGACTCAAGTGAAACCAGTTTAATCTCTTCTTTATGATGTCGAAGCATATTCAGCAACCCTATTACTGGTGAGAACGCTATCTCCAATTTCGTTCAAACCCATTTTCGAAATATTCCATCAAAAACCTTGCTTTACAGCCCATTTCACATCCCAAAAAACGATGCAACCCACCCATGAAAAATAATCAAAAAGAAGGGCATTAATCTTAGGTGGAAATGCAGCAAATTTGCTCATGCGAAAATTCACGGGCTGCAGGTGTTTCGCGAACGGGCAATTCTCATGAATCTGATCATTACATTCATCATTCACACAACTTTCGACAACAGACAACCGTTTTAGCGGCGTAGCATGCGTGAGTTGGAGCTCGCAATCTGGCCTTAGTTGTGGTTCCACTTGTCATCTCCGTCAGTATTGTAACATCTTGTTCACAGAGACAAACGCAATGATACTAATTCCCTTCGGTTTTACACTGTTTTCCAAACGATTTTTACCAATTCCTTATGACCTCGATTACATCTCTCAAACTACACATGACCATATTGGTTTAAATTTAGTCTGGAACTCTGGTAGTGAAAACATGTTTATTCATCCCAGGATGTGGATAAATTCCCGTTTACTACCTGGTTTTATCGCCTATCCGTGGTGGGGCATCCGACCGTGAGCTTTACATATAAGATGCATTAGATGTTTAACAACATTTGTGAAATCTCGCGATCCGATCTGCCACCGGACAGGGGTACACTGTTCAGCCACATGTATGAGTCTACCGCCGAAGTGGATGTCTAGAAACCTCCACTCCACAGGTTGCAGTTGTTCGCGGACTGACAATTTTCATGAATCTGGTCATTACATTCCTTATTTACACAACTTTCGAAAACAGACAAACTTTAGACCAACCATTTTAGCAGCGTAGCATGAGTAAGTTGGAGCTCGCAATCTGGCCTTAGTTGTGGTTCCACTCCATCAATATTATCACATCTTGTTCACAGAACCAAACGTAACGATACCAATTCCCTTCGGTTTTACTCAGATTAGCCCGTATGGTCAGTCGAAATACACCGTTTTCCAGATGATCGCTACCAAATCCTCGAATGCATCTGTCGGAATACTCACGACATATTGATTTAAATTTAATCAAGAACTCTGGTAGAGAAAACATGTTTATTCTTCCCGGAATGCCAGGCCTTTTTTATGTGTAGTCGTCTGTTTTCAGGGTGACTGTGTTCAGTGTCGTAGAGTCATGTTAATTTTCGGCCACGATATTTACTGCGGAAATGGACGCAACTGTGACTGCAACCTCGTTAGGAGCTTAGTACATTTATTAAACGTCATGCTAATAAAAGTGAACATTTTCTGTAATTACTTCTTAAATTTTCAGGCGAATATCTCACTCAGAAAGATGAGACAACGAATCAATGTTCAAAAAATTATTCGGACACTCAAATGCACGGAAGGCTGGTTGGGCTGAGTATCCTAGAGAACCTCGATTGTTGATTCAAGTAATTTCATGGAAACTGCCATGAAAATAGAATAAAATGGAATCTTGCACCGATCGTGGTTCTCCTACATACCACAGACTTATTCCTACTGTAAATTTTGGCAAGGTGCTGGCAACAGTTGAGCGAAGCATTGTACTTGAAATTATTCCACAGGTTTCCTGGAAATCCGAATTTACGTTGGACTCAAAAAAACAGTGAGGCATGAGATTCACTGGTGAGGATATATTGAATCAGCTCTCTTCAAAAAACATTACAAGTAAATTGTGCACTCTTATCGTAACCGCAAACGTAGGTTAATTTTAGTTCTGAAAATAATGTTGGAAGATTCACTTGACTGTCACAGTGGAGGTTTTTAGACATCCACTTCGGCGGTAGACTCATACATGTGGCTGAACAGTGTACCCCTGTCCGGTGGCAGATCGGATCGCGAGATTTCACAAATGTTGTTAAACATCTAATGCATCTTATATGTAAAGCTCACGGTCGGATGCCCCACCACGGATAGGCGATAAAACCAGGTAGTAAACGGGAATTTATCCACATCCTGGGATGAATAAACATGTTCTCACTACCAGAGTTCCAGACTAAATTTAAACCAATATGGTCATGTGTAGTTTGAGAGATGTAATCGAGGTCATAAGGAATTGGTAAAAATCGTTTGGAAAACAGTATAAAACCGAAGGGAATTAGTATCATTGCGTTTGTCTCTGTGAACAAGATGTTACAATACTGACGGAGATGACAAGTGGAACCACAACTAAGGCCAGATTGCGAGCTCCAACTCACGCATGCTACGCCGCTAAAACGGTTGTCTGTTGTCGAAAGTTGTGTGAATGATGAATGTAATGATCAGATTCATGAGAATTGCCCGTTCGCGAAACACCTGCAGCCCGTGAATTTTCGCATGAGCAAATTTGCTGCATTTCCACCTAAGATTAATGCCCTTCTTTTTGATTATTTTTCATGGGTGGGTTGCATCGTCTTTTAGGGGTGTGAAACGGACATGTACATCGTGATGTTAGGGAATCTCAACCTTTTGATTTTTAACTTTTATGGTCATCTGCATGTCATAAAACCAGCGTGCCTTCGGATGGCCGAGTTCAGGCTTCGCGCAATTGTTCTGAGTCGCTTTCATTTCCCGCATAATCACTAAACTGAAAATCAGTTCTTTGCTTCTGTTTCGAGTGTATGGGCTACACTATAGTTGGGATTACGTCCGATCCTGACCAGAATTCAGAAGGAAGCTTTTTGTAACTGATGCCAAACAGTAATGTCGATGTCGGTATTGAAAGCCTCATGTGAACCCGTGTGCACTGCAGTTTCTTCAGTCAAACGCTTCTCACCTGTCTAGGACGTTAGGCTTTTTTCTCATCGGATGTACCTTGTTGAACATGATGATGATAGGAGATGATTTTACTTTCTCGGCTGTTGTCATGTATTTGAGCTATCATTCGGCTTTTGCCAGCATTTCTTCTTGGTTGAATAAATCGTACACCAGCAGAATAAGTGTCACTAGAATCAGCCTACAAAGTAATTGCGTTTTGATTAAATAAATTTAAAATCTTTGTAACTTTGAAGTAATTGAATTCAACTGATCGAGTGCAGCGATATCCCCTTTGATACTGTTCGCCGGTCAGTTATTTTTTTAATTTTCGAAGTTATTGATCTCGGGTGATGTCTAAGGCACCTCGGGTATGCTTAAACTCTATTTTTACCAAAAAAAGTAATCATGGAGGCACAAAATTGAGTGCTCGGTGATGTGACCACAGTCTTACTGCTCTACTGGCGCCTTCTTGTAATTGATCGCAAGCGTTTTTGTGCTTCGTTCTTTGTCTATGTCAAACACGAGAATTTGAGAGTTTGAATAAATAAAGCCTTGCTAATTTTCAGTAGTGATTACACCAGGGAGGACCCAGCTGTGCAGGTCATCTTAGCATACGGCAGAAGTAATAAAAAAACAATGATAAATCGTTCAGCTGTGGCACCCTTTTGGTGTCCTAGCTGCCATGCCACCCGAAGGAAGCACAAGGGCTGCAAACCTGCAAGTTGCCCAAACCTAGACAGGGGAAGTTGAAACGTACAGGTCGGGTTCGAACCCTCAACTTTTCGGACATTAAGTTCGCGTTATAACAACTGAGCCATCTTCAAGCATTAGAAATAAGGTTCACTAGCAAGAAAGACTAATGTTTTATGGATAAAACAGACCCAGTGCATAACCAATCTATTTTCCAACTGATATTTAAAGTAAGATAAGGAATCCCCCCCCCCAAATGTTTCACCGAGGCAAAAAATGAGGAAGCCGAGTAAGATAAGAATCCCCCCCCCCAGATGTTTCACCGAGGCAATAAATGAGGAAGCCGCAAACATTTCTAGCAAGTGGGGAACTTCCTCACCGTAACGAGCGCCGTGTGGATATAACTGTTCACATCAGAGCATAGTATGCATACGTACAATTACTGTACCACATAGAAAGTTGCCGGAGGGCAATACTAGGGAGATTTTCGGTAAAACAGATCCAGCCATTTTCAAACAGCTTTGGTTATAACGCCGAAGTTAGTTGATGCATTCTATTGTCTGTTAGGGACCGGTTGATAAAACGGACAGGTCGATCGTAGAACATTTGGATAACGGCAGGCAAATTGAGTAAACTGCAATCGACAAACGCTTTGTATTGAACATTATGTTTTTGTTACACAGACGTCGGCGCGGAAACGACAATTGGATGTATCAGACATGTCCATTTAGGGCGTGTTACAACAAGAACAGCGGCAGTGAATTTCCATGCGACATAAATTGGAAAACAAGCAATAGACGTATGTGTTTAATCAACTTTTCAAATAAAGCTCTCACCGCAATATTGATATAAAATTCTGCATGAATTGCAAGTTCAGGGCAGTAAAAATTATGCGTTGGAATAGATTAACATTAGTGACCAGCGTAAATTCTGGGTCGCAAATTGAGTTGTCACTACCCGTGCTACAAATACACTGCGGGGTTTGGAACCTGAGTAGTGGATAGAAAGTTCTCTGACATTAGTAAAAAGCCTAAATAGGGGAAGTGGCCACAAACCGCATTTATGGGCTGCCCATGCACCTGTCTTCAGATATATACTCGCTAAATTGCTATAGCCGTTCGCAGCCGGCGGAAATTTCTTCATATCAAGGGTTAATATAAAATAGAGGGACAACAGCAAAGCACGTCAGGATTTACCAAAAGCCTTCCCAACTTTCATACAACATGGGGGAGTTTCTGCATCTTGGGGGAGAACTGAGTTCTTCTTTCTGCTTCAGCTACAGCACAGTTTTAATACGACCAGCGACATATCTCTAAGTTTTCATCAGTCCTCTGAAAAAGGAAAGTTTTGCCAATACGCATTCTGATTTGTAGTATGCATTCTAGTTTACCTTGATTTTCTCTTCCACAACCGTAAAGTGACTTGGCATTAGGCATGGTCATGCTCACGCCAAATAAGTAAATCACACCAGTATAACAACGGCAATATATTAAAAGGGAACAAAAACGCAGGCTATTTATGAGTGGACTTCGTTATTTCCAGAAGACATAAGGTCTCTTTGTCTCCGGGTCCACCCTCTTATATGTCACACCTATGAAGTGTTTAACTTAGGTTCCACGAAGGTCATATTAAGCTGCCTCAGAAAGCTTTTGAAGTCACTCCGAGATTACTTTTGAATTCAACCAAATAAGGCTTTAAAATATTTTCGTGGATACGAAACGAACGATAACGACCAAACCAACTACAGGACCTAGTAAACAGAAGAATGCTTTTTTGATCTTTGATGAAGTTTCGCGCACATTTCACGGAATATGTCAGAAGCGTGATTTAAGTTAGCAAAGAAGAAACAAGAATGGAATAGTCCTGGTCAAGCGTCACATAGAATCCAACTTCCCGGAGGACTTGAACAGATACGGGGGCGGCAGTTGACAAACTGTGTCAGACGTTTTAGCAGTTGACGCCACTTATGACGTATATAGAGATGACAAACCCTAGATATGGAAAATTATTTTGAACTCATGTTTTTTCAAACACGTGACCGGAAAATCAGTTCTGATGACGTACAGAACAGAGTAAATTCGGATCTAGCCAACATTTGCTACCATTACAAATGAGGTAAACAGCAATGGAACAGCGCATCTATCAGAAAACACTGTAAGTTATATAAACGGGCAGGAAATAATAACAGCAATGCTCTCACGAAACCAGCTATTTGATCTGTTTTTTAACTTCGAAAGGAAGGGACTGCATCAGGAGAATGAAAAGCCATTATAAACGAAAAAATCTACTGTTTACAATATAGAACATAATATTAAATTGGTATAAAGATGTATAAAAAAATCCTGAATGACTCGAAAAATTGTGGCCTTGTCACCCGACAAGATTGGGAGCAAAACTAAGGGCCTACAGGGACTGAATTTCCCATTTAGTTGAGCTACTCCGGTGTTTGTTGGCACCCAATTTTAGATAGGTTCAATTCACCACACCAAAAGGCAGGAAGGTGGTCGAGTAACGCGTTAGGTTCAGTCTGAGTCGACCTAGTCAAACGCAGTACGCACGAAACGTTTATTTCTATTGGTCAAACTGAAGATTCGGACAATTTAAAAACACTTTATTTCTGGAGATTTTACTACTTTTGTAGATCATGAAATATGTATGTGATGTCGTTGAAGGCCTTAAAAAGTGAGTGTTCTACGTCCAGTGAAATTAAAGAACCGATTCTAGGTTATGCAATGAATATTTAGCTTCCACGTATTCGACATCTGGACAAGATAGACATAGACCTTCCACTTTTTATTGCTTTCAGGTGTATTCATTTCCAAACCGGAAGTTACGACCAATTCCCGCCAGTGTAGTACAAGATTTTGATTATTGTGGCAGCTAAGTTGATTATTCTTAAGAAGGAACAGTCCGCCAAACCAAACGATTCTTTATCATGGTTGACAAGCTCACCAATAAGTTTTTTGACTTGAAACTGCTTTCGACTTAAATTTTATGGAGGGATTTCAAAACTTACTTATTCAAGTCTTGCGGTTTCCGGCTTCCGTTCTTTCTACTGCAGCATCAGCTTACTTGGCCACCACTCTTGCAAAAGTAGGGGTTGGCTCTTATGTTAACCCGTCTGGCACGCAGCCAGTTGAAAGCTAAAAGGGAAGCCAATCCTGCACCAAAAATGAACTACATATATGCCCCTGGGATGCACCCATTGGATGTCCCAGTAACTGAAGATGGGGATTGAATTCATCGAAGAAACGCATACATATATGCCCTGGGATGCACCCATTGGATGGCCCAGTAACTGAAGATGGGGATTGAATTCATCGAAGAAACGCATAGTTTTGAGCAGAAGCAGGTTAATTTTGTCGCATTGGGTGTCTTGATTTTTGAATAGAGGGCGATGAAACTGCGGCGGAGATACCTCTAAATTGAATTTGACTAATTTTGGGATTAACCCCAAGAAGGATTTAGAATATCCCTAGAATGTTTTAACCCTACTCCAAAAGACCTTTGTGCAAGTGGACATCGTTCAACTAACCTACTATGGGTTTTTGGGCTGCAAGGTGGAAGAACAAATGGAATCTGACTAATCGGAGAGAACGCTGCTAATCATCTGGTGGATTTAATTACCTCAATATTACGCCAAAAGTTTATCTTTGAGTTGTCTTAATGTGTCAAGTATTGATTTCTGCAACGTCGCCTTGAAATCACTTTCCCGCAGACAAATGTCCTCCTAATTCCTGGATCGAAAAGGCCAACAAAGTTATTGAGAATACGATTTGGAGTCACTCATCGATACCTCTATTTACTAGTAAACATTCAAAATCTTTGACGAATCAATATATTTTTGTTATTGCATTTACGGGTCACTCAGATTTGCTTGGGGCTACTTTCATATCCCGTCTGCCAACTCATCGAATCACTGATAATTCCTTTAGCAAACGCAAATCAGCAAACGTGTCGTTAATAGAACATTTTTCCCCCACTTATACCAGCTTGATATGCTCATTCAACCAGAACTCCCAAGTCTTGAGGAACTGGAGGCAATGCAGCGCGATACACGGCATCGGAGGCCTGGACGCTGGACAGAGTTTCTCGTCTATGTAAATACACTCCTGAGCACTGTAGCGGGGATCCAGACGGAGGAACCAAACCTGTCATCAAAACTCCTAAAGTCAAAAAACATCAGTTACATTCCAAAAGCCATTTCAGTGTTGTATAAACTACGTTTGGTAAGTTTTTCTACCCAGCACAAGTGAGCCTACTTTCATTCATGAATGTTAGCAAATGACCATGCAGATCCACATAACGCTTTCTCTGCAACGGTTTCCCACATTCTACTGCTGATTTGCGAGACGAAATAATCGGATAGGTTTATCCAATATCTTAATGTCTTCCTCAACTCTTTTAAATGTTCTCACGCAAGGTTATTTGTGAAATAGCAGATCAACTTTTCTCGCACAGGAGAATATATTTGGAATCTATTGATTCTGAGTGAGACAAAGTTTAACGGCCACGCAAAAAAGCTCAATTATTCGCACTGAGAAAAATTCTGTTAAGTGTAAGTGGCTAGCGAGCAGCACACTATTCTCTTTGAGATGTTTATGGAACTACAGCAAGCAGCATATCCTGGCCTACATAACTACACTTGAGCCCAGCGAATTTGTTATAAATGATAACGATAGTGAAAACTTATTGCGTTTACTTCAGCACAGGAATACTAAGCGATATTTGACTAGTCCTTTTGACCTTTCTCAAAGAATTCAAAAAATTGGTGTTTAGTTTCTCAATCGTCCATTCTAAAAGTTTCCCGAATTTAACACACTACTTTGACATAATTTAAATTGCTTAAATTATGATAAACCAGGTTGGGGTCTCATGAACATTGAGTGAACACTGATATTATTGTGTAGAGCATCAAGCTTTGTGCAAACCATAATTCCTCCCAAAAGTACAGACATTCCCCCATTTGGTTGTCGAGGCTCATCCAGCTTGTACTCATAGAGTGAAAACAACACGTTCACCTCACATGACAGACTTTAAATGTCCAGGCACCAGTGCTTATAGACATATTTATCGCTGATGACGTCAGTTACAACAAAACTCGCGTCCACTGATTTTTGGCTTCGATCTGAACTGATCAGAATAATCGTGCGGGAACAGAAGAAGCGTTGTTCAAAAGAGTATGTACTAGATATGAAGTCATGTCATTGTCCCATTATGACTGCCGAACAGTCATTTTGGCAGCCGACTTTGTCAGCGAAACTTTATCTGATCTCGCTAATCACAATACCGGGCCACCCGGAGTATTCATGTGCAAAATGATAGGCTATTTCACCCCAACTGCTGAATTCACTGGAAAGAACCAGGTGGTGTTACTTTCTCCCAACATCTGCCATCACACTCAAAGTCCAAAATCCGTAGCTTTTGTCAATACTTTTCTGAATTTCTATCTCCCAGCTTGCAAGACAGAACCAGGAGTCAAAGATCACCCCTGTCCGGATGACTGTACGTGAACTGATGCAGAAAACACAACAATCAGTGAGTAAAATTCATGGCATTTAGCATAAATTCAAAATTAGGTCATATCACCAAGGCTACCTTGCTATTGTGTCCAAATATATTCTGTGTTTTCTGAAGTCTTCGCTTTCTTCCTCCTTGCCCTCCTCAAAAAGGTGACCCACTTTGTATCATGTTTCCATATCAACTACTAAGACTTCGAGAACCCTCATTTAAACCCTACGGTCTTTCACGCCAACTAATCACCAAAAATATCATTTGCTTCTTAAAATGTATCTGAACTGAGGAAAAACACGTCTTATGTAGGATTCAGCATCGCAGATAATGGATTTTCCTGGAGTAAACCATTACGTCCATCCTGTCTCTATCGCTCAAGTTGTAGCATCCAAAGTACCACGACGGACATGTGCACACAATGAACGATTAAAAAACTGCAACGAGAACCCAAACGTCACTTTTAGTTTTATTTTTGTCTTGTTCCGTGATTAGTTTGTCGTTATTTCCGACATTTTTCTAACACAGATCACCTATTTATCAGCTTAAACCTACAATGAACACCGTTTTCACCATGTGTGGTTTATAACTTATTTATTTTATCTGATTTCACATTAGCCAGAATAAATATTATACAATTAAAGTACATGGGACCGGTCTTATACTCACACGAGTACGACTATACTTGCATTACATAGTCCTTCACATGACACGCAGCACATCTATGGGCTGGAATTACCTTAGCTTCCGATTGTATACTGATTCCATGGGTGCATGGATAAATACACATAGGAAGGCTAGATGTCTCTGCCCTGGTAGACTCCCACTCAGGCGCTCATTTTCAAGATATGATCCAGTCAGTGAATATGCCCGAGGTAAGCACACGAAAAGTGTAGACTTATTGTGTGAAGAGAATGTGACTTGAATGGGGTGTTGATGATGGCTATTCAACCCTGAGACTCGAAACAAACTGAATTTAGAAGACTCAATACAATCAAGCAGATGCGTCGCGGAACTCGCCGGCGCAGTTGCAATATAAGTCAAGGAATTCAATTGCAGTTTAAGCGTAGGCGATCAATAAATGTACCATAAAACAAAACAAATACAGGTCGTTTAAAATGTGGGTTATTGGCACCAACTCCGAAATGTGACAAGTGATCCGACTACAACACCGATAGACCGGAAGATAGCTGTCTCCTCGCAATAGAGGAATCGTCAGCGAACCCAGTCAAAAAATGCCGCACTGTGCACAACCTAGAAGGGCGAAATCCAATAAATCACACAGGTAACAAACCTTCTCCAAAAGAGCACCCGATGCAAGCGCACTCAAAACAGCCAATAAAAGTGGACAAGTAACTACGACAAATCCATATGCCACAGCGCTCTGGAACCCGGTGAGCTTGTCAGGTGGAAAACACCGGACGATACTCTCAGTGTGCTCTTGTCTGCTTCAAAAAGTTGACGCAAGCACATTGTAATACACTGAAGACAGAAACCGGTACTCCAGTGTAGACACTACAGCATAAACCAACAATTCGGCACCATCGCGCACAAGTGTCATTCGGTGTCATTCTGTTCCGCCGCAAACAAAAGTGACGTTTGGTTTAATACTAAAAGTCCTCTCGTACGGCCCGAAACTGGCAGGTGGCGAACCACTGGTGGATGGGGCTGCAGCGGACTCCGAGAGGACAGAAGAAAAACTCCGTGCGGCGTCATTTGACGCAAAGCAATCCTCAGTCAACCGTCGGCGTAAAACTCTTGTCATTCTTGTCTTAGGTACCTTGATTGACCCATACCAATCAATGATAACGCATTGGCAATTTTTTTGCTGCATATATCTGACAGCTGTGCACGGCGTGGATGAATCTGAAAAGGCCAATCAGCTGATAGCCAAAGTAAAAGCGAGTCATGGTCTTCACATTGCATGACAGTAATACGTGCTCGTGATCGGAAGTCGCAAAATAAACAACCCTCACGCGCGTTCATGAGCAACAGAGATGTGAAATTGATGACACAGAAACAACCTTTTTTTTCCTAGATGCGTGTGACAATCGTGCTTTACAATACAGGGCTTTATTGAATGTGACGCACTAAGGCGGCCTCATTTTGCCGTGATTCACACGTTCAGAATGCCATCCAACGCTTCTCTTGGACAAGTACACACGCCCAGAGCAACTAATCATCATTTTCTCCAGAGTCGGTTGGATGATTTGGACTCGGTTTTAACGCTTTAGGTTTCCTTTAACTTGGAGGTACACTGCTCCAAATATTTCAGAGTAGCTAGTCCGTGGGTATGGACTTCGGTCGAGTAAGAGGAGTTCTTTTGTTGAACGCCCGGATTTCAAATGTTCACTTCTACAAAGATTTCTAATGTAGTGTGTTGGGGCTCACCCTCTTGAACCAAACAACTTTGGTTGAACTGTTCTTCATTGGCTATAGATTTACTTTGTGTCCAAACAGCTGATTACAGTGTAATAAACTTCTAACTTCAAATTTTGTTGTATGAGCTTGTAATGCATTCTGTTGGGTGTTACATCCTTCCAAATATCTAGCCCCCTTCATGTAGAATCTCGGATGATGAAAATGTTCGTCTGTAACAATGCCCAGCCTGTTGCCCGCTAGTCCATCGACATTCCGTCGACTGCATCTTTCTGACTATGCCAAACTGGTAATTTTATTAAAAAATGTTCAGCCTAATTGTTATCTTAAGCACCTTCACCATTCATTCCAGTGTCACAAATCTGGCTTATCTGGGGTTGTTAACACCGTCAACAAGTATTTTTAATAACTTTCATTCCCACTAGTCCCAGCAGGGAAGTGTCTGCATTTCATTTCGCAACACCCTTGTCTCGCCAAACCTCTGACTTGCACAGTGGGTGAGGTTTTGTTCCCGAAGCGTGCATGCGCTAATAATCAAATCCGGATAGTTTCCGCTGTCGCTCAAGTCCTCGAAAAAATGAGCTCGTTACAGTTAGATGACCTCGTTAATGGACTCGTCAGTATGCGTGCAACACGGACTTTCGCTGTCATTGAGAACTCTGGCCACCAGGTATTCTATTTATGTTCAGTATGTCAAAGGTGCGTTCAGTGAGGTGTATGTTTACCACACACTCGTGAATTTCAATTAGATACTTTCCCGCGCACGCGGTATTCCTCCGGCTTTTCGTATGCTTATTAGTCGAAGTCAGATAATTTACGCTAGGTTTGAATTTTTCCAGGACTATGCGTAGTCATTTTACTCTCAGTGAGATATAGACTAGCATGATAACGAGAAAATAGTCGTAAAATCTTGGCGCAGTTGTAAAATATCTGTGACAACTTTGTTACTTATTGTCACAGATATGTCGCAAATAATTCTAAGAATACACTTTCCGGTTTTAGACTTTCGATCCGTGTCTAGTCAGAATGTAAGGACTAATATATGTTCCACTGACATCAACAGTTGGACCCTTAAACTCACCGTGTTTCAACAGCGAGACGAAATTTTACACCAGAGGAAAAACGAACTGTGAGAAAATGTTTTGTTAAATGATTCAGATACTAAGAGCATTTTGGTCCTATATGGGTGGAGCGAGTATATGGCAAATATATATTGGTGCATTCATATGAACATATATAATGATTATTATACGTACACATATGATATTTGTTTCGTTTCAGCAAGCATATTTTCCATTTCTCCCGTTCTGTCCGCTCTCTCAAATACATTAGATTAGCTTCCCACGCTATCTGGGGGCAATTATGGCAGCAAATCGTTCAGGCGTGATCCCGAGGGATTTGGCTGTCTGGGTGGCCGATGTGGAGTACTACGAAAGACTAGGAAACTTGCTTTATCATACGTCATTTAAGTAAGTCCCGGGGTTTTGTTGCCTGCACAACAAAGTGAGAACGTTTACAATGCGCAGAACTGTGTGGAAAAGAATTCAAAAATTCGTATTCCCAGAGGAAAAAAACTTCAAAGAATCAATGTACTGCTTTTGAAAGTTTCTCGGAACCGATCGCAGATAAGTTGTCGCTTAGCGAAAGTTCTAACTAACTCACCTAATAGGATTTAGCAAAATGGTCTGGTTCCGCATCAAACTACATTTTTTCCTAATATCTGATGGGCTGGATTTCGGGGGCTCGACCTGATGGAGCCAGTGAACATGGCCAAATATAAAAACGGGTTGCACGTTTGAATTATAATAGCAAGATTCTAGGGGTTGCAAATCTACTACCAATAAGTATATAAAATTCTTCCTAATGACGTGCTTTTAGACATATATATTGCAGATGGCACACACAATCTAACTCAAATTGTTCCACTTGCCCAAAGGCACTTCTATCTAAGTGGCATGTTATCAGACCAGAGGAGTTAAACAAAATTTCAAGGGTTGTATTTTGTCCGTAATAGACAGTGAGTCTCCATTTGTTTCCGTCCACGAAGCACCCGTCTTTTCTATATCTGTTCACCCATCAGAGAGCAAAGTACACAAGATTTCTCCGGATAACTACCATCATGACTCCGATAGCGGAAGCGCAAATTCCGGAAGAGTTTTAACAGCATAGTTTGGGAATGTATTTAAAAGTTTTTATGAGGCAACCGGAGTAATAGCGAATGCTTAGCCATGCCCACGTTTGCACATGAAGCCTGCAATGTTCTGGGCAAATCCTTCTACAAGCCACCCTAGTAGGAGGTTGGCAGCTTCAATATGCGAACATTCTGAAAATAGTAAATCCTCATAGACATGATAACAAGTCTGATAGATGGTAGGTGATAATCCGTAGTCTCACACATTAGGAAAGCTATTAAGACGCATGCAATCAGCTTCATAAGAAAATGGTGGATATATCTTTCTATAGAAGACTCAATATTACTTAAGCATATTTACCGCGTGACTTAAGCCAACGTCCTTTGGGATTTACCCAATGGTAGAATATGAATTTAGGGTAGTAAATTACGTATCAAGACTTGGTGGATACTGTTTCCCTCAACAACGTTCCCCTTTATTTGTTCTTACGTCTATTTTACCTGGCCCGTGATTATTAATCGAGGAACCTCGTGAGTGACAAGTGGTGCATAATATTAATCATAACCGACGACTGTGTACATCAAAGCGGGGTGTGATTTCATGATAAACGATATCGATCAGGTTAGAACATTGGGCAATAAAAATGCTCTACTTTTAACGACCTAGTTTACAGGGGCACAGCGCCTTGCAAATAGACGCGGATATTTGACCCAAAGTGGTACACATCAGTTGTCTCGTAAGCAAAAGGCAGGTTGTTCCATGACGTGAAACCACATATGACCAAACGAGTATAGGAACTGAAGAAGGAAACTATCGAAGACTTATTTTTCCAGAAACATTTTGTTAAACATTCATTCATACTGTATACTGAATAGACACAGCATACTTACGGCGTGAATATTCCTGGTGATGGGCCTTCATTTGGACTGAGATGTGAATGGTAGGAGAATGTTAGAGAATTCATAAGTCACATATTGCCAAGAACCTTTCCGTCTTTTCAGTCTGTTGTCACCCATATAGGATAGCCGCTGGAATGATGCAGCTCATGGATGGCAGCAAAATGTTCTCCACACTCAACTAAATGTTTTTGGCAGAGGTGAAAAGGCTATTAAGCCTCACTTGAGTTGATTTCACAACTTCGCCTAAAACCGCGTCCAATTACATATAATTCCAGAAAACCAAGAGACACTATGTATCTCGTCATAAATTGGCCTCTTCTTGCATAAATTCCTTAAATACAAACCTGAAACTTAGTTTCACTAAGCTGTTGCGAGCCATGGAAGATTAACTCATCCTCTAGACAACACCAAAATAAGCAACTCAAATTGGTACTGTTGCATGGCCCAAAACAAACAGTCTCTAACTCAAATTGTACTGTTGCATGGCCCAAAACAAACAGTCTCTACTTCATCTCTGAAAGATTTAGGGGAATGATTTTGCGGACATAATGTTCATTTAAACTATGACGCTTACGGTGTCCCTAGAAATGGAATAACGCATGCAGAGCGTTGCATGTTCAGGTTGAGAGTGTAACTGCAGTGTGACGCACCATTTGCAGTTTTGTTACTTATGTATGGATGAAGAGACACAGGGCTTTCTGCGACCACATCGAGTGAAACGATAACTCGATCAGCCAAAACGTATCTACGGAGTCCGCTCACCAATCAAGAGGCCATTTTACAGTGTATAAGTGAAACTGAACGCAGACAAAACTAACCCAGCTAGCAACGTTCATTTGTTTTAATCAGTATCCCAGATAAACAGCTGTCAAAAATAGAACAAGCGACCACAAGCTTACGCATGCAGCTAAAGTATTAATCACGCGCTTGCCTATTCATGGAGAGGCAGTTCAGAATATTCACGCCCACGTCATGTTCATTTGAGCAGTCCGCCTGTTACAACTGTTTGCCGAGTCCACACCAAAGAGGACTTTACCCAAGTTTTGCTCAGAAATGCATACCTTTGTCGTGCCAGGATTTGCACTCCAGCTATCTGACACGCTGAGCGAGCTTGTTCCAGCTGCTTTATTGGAGTTTACTGGATGGACCCAAATTACGATACCTGAACAGAAGAACGTGTTCGCGCAAGAGCGATATGAGTTGCTTGTCCCACGACAACAAATGCGAAGTTTTAGACGGCAGTGAGTAAAAGCACTTCCACACAAATTAAAACCCAGTGATTTTACCTAACAAACTGACACTTTTCAAACAGCGGATCAAGATCTTTACTTTGATTGATTTGTCAAAGAAATGACAACCATCGTTTACTGTCACCTAAATTAGGCGACCGAAAATTTAATGCTAGTCAAGCGAAAAAAATTCATCCTCGCAAATGTATTCACTTGTAGTTTTCTACTTAAAGTTTTGCTCAAACAAACATTAATGAGTGTCTTCTTTAGCATATGAGTGCGCCGCAATACGAGATACGGACAAGGGTCGGGAATAATTCAATCACGATATCGTGGTTTGCGCAATTTCAATTTCACACAGACGCACTTGGTTATAAATTCATCTTCGTTCTGAAAGAGCAAGACAATAATAAAATACAGTTACCAAGAGCGCACAGGACTCTGACGTCATTTTGTGACGACGCTCCTAGAGAATGCGCCACTCAGTCAGTTGTTAGGTTTGCAGTTTGCGAAGAGAAGGACGTGGTAATTTCAAGTTTTGATCCGTTTGATGGAAATTGGGGAGGCTTCATACGTCCAACTATAAAGTAGCAAACATTAGCTCGGAAAGCATTAGGACACTACTGTGTACTGGCAAGGAGTTGTGGTACTTACTGTTAACGGTCCGATAATTCAATCTTCTGAATATCTGGTTAGGTGGTTAGGTAACTGGTACAACCAAAGGCTTGCCACGGTACTTGAATACTCAGGATGCAGAACCTCACTGGAATCTCGTCAAAATCTGCATTTCCTTGGGTTTCTCATGTCCAAACCATTTTGGTAGTAGTAGCCACAGGTGCTTTATTCTGTTTTTAATTTATAACCTCGGAATATATGATCCCTCACCAAAGTCTCTAAACTAAGCCTACTGCGTTCTCTTTTCTGTTCGCCCGACACCAGTCACTGAGCGCCGAAAATGTATCCTCTGTTCTATGGAAAACCGAAGTTATCACAGACGTCGACACTTTTGACGAGGCACGAAACGAGATCCTTTAATATGATACAAACCTCTCGACTTAGCTGAAAAAATCGCTCTGAAGATATCAGTTGCCTTACATTGAAAACTGTTGGATGCGGCCAAGAATAAAACTAATTCTTCATCTCAAAAAGTAGTATTCCAGTAGTGTGATAGCTTCTTTGTTTGAGTGAACGCGGTTATCAAAACAATACGGCCCGTGTGCCGTGAAAAACGAGAAAATTCGAAAATTTGGGAAGGTGAAAATGTTTATGAAAGTTTGACAACGAGCTTGATAATATTAGGTTGTTTCACGGCAAGTGTAACATACAGAAATTTGCTACCCATATTGTGCGCACGTTTTGCGAAGAAATGAAGTTTCTAATTAAATAGGATCCATACCTTACTGTGCCACAAAAATTCACTGATCTAACCAGGATTTCTTCATTGACTTTCGAATGGGTGCATAAACTATTCACTGATAAACATTCACCTTCAGACAATGGGTACTTATATTCTATCAGGACACTGGTCTCTGGAGCAGTGAAAAAATGTAATTTCTGCACTGACAACATGCTACCTTCTTTCACCGATCACATTCGCTCAGCGATTTCCGGTAACGAATTATTACAAGTTTTTTCCACCATTTCAGTGAACTGCAGGAATACATCACCTTTTGTATTTTGCACAAATATGCTCCGTATGTGTACAGACCATTGGCCATATTGAAGCGCAAATTACTAGAACCACTTGCTGGTAAGTTGAGTATTATTCTCGCATTTCTTTTAAACCGGACAGACTCAAGAAGCATGTATACACAAGGCGTTATCCATTATCATCGCACTGATAGAGCAGCAAATCCTTACAAACTTCGGATTTTAAAGCTACTGTATTTAGGGAGAATAACCCAAAATTTGTAGTCTTCCTAGCAATAAGTTGACAAAAACAGTCCCTGGTAACAATTTGAATAAGGTGCTCAGCCGCCGGCGAGGAGCTCGCTGTTGGTGGAAATCTTAATGACCCATTTCGCACATTTATATACACACAGTAACACCACCAAGTGAGTTTGCGGGCTTTGTCTGCGACTGATCTTGTTACTTTTATAAAGAGAACTGACATCACTTTTGGTCGTGGCTTATCGACTTTCCTCAATGAGCTTCCTAAAACTGCACATTATCCCCGGTTAATGACACAATCTCAGACGAGGACACTTGGATTAGTTGTTGGTTCTTTCGTAAAACAATGCCTTTAATCTGGAATTACATTACCGCGTGCTGTCTACATAGTTCGATTACCCGGTTAGGTTTTGTGACGGGGATCAAAAACAAAGTTAGACTTCCTCTTATTTTGTAATCTTTGTGGTGTCGCCCCCGGGATAAGCCATGTTGTAGAAACAATCCCGAGTAACTTTTTTGCGACTTCTTGGACCCGGATTGGCTGGAATATTAGTTATCGAACCACGTGGATGGTGGGATGATATGGCCATTGCTATTGGACCGTTAAACAGAAGTTAAAATTCTGAACCCAACCACAGAGAATGATATCAATGACGGATCTAATCTTTGATTAACGGAAGGATGATAGAATCCTGATTGACACACACAATTGAACTTCATTGAACGAAAGACAACAGTTTTACGTTCTCATGGACGGAAATACCAAAAACTTTGGTCCACGCCATAATCAAATTTCCTACACTTTCTTGAACCCACTTTGTATAATCAATAAGACAATCAAGATAATAAAACATCATATGACACTTAACAATCTGGGTACCTGATTGCTGGCTAGTGTTGGTAGGGTGAGGAAATTTGAAGTTTCCAGAAAAGAACTTGACTTTCAAGTGGAGCTATGCTGAAAAGCGTAGTAATAATACAAAGCTGTTACATCCTTATCGGGTATCAGCAACAGCATGCATCTTACTAAACTCACTGACACTTATCTCAAGACTTCCGGCTTATACAAAAACCTGACCGTTCAAGAACAAACGACTGAATACTGATGTGCCCGGCTTGCTATTAGACAAGACATAGAGCCTCTCATCCTTAATTCATAGAAACCACATTATGTGATCGAGTATTCGCTGATTCTTTTGTGGCGACTTCTCAGATGGATGCCTCACTCATACTGTGAAATTTTTCTTCCCCCAACCCACTTATAGACTGATGGTACTACGATAAGATTTAGAATTTCATGATGCCTAAAGGTTTTTGAAACTGTTACCTTCCGATCAGGGTATGGACACTCTAGCGTTTCGCTATGAGCGACAGCACGAGTAGTTTATATTCCAATAGTTCATTCGACGTTTGATTTGCTACGACACGAGCTAGCAGTAAGAATCTTCCGAGAAACGTCTCAGTTCAATTGTGGACGGCTACGAGTATACCGTTCGGTTTCGCCTGAGTTCACCACCTCCAGTAGTGTAAGACATGGCTGACGCCTCTCGCCTTTACTCTTCAAATTGTTACCAATGGTTTGTTCAAAATTTCTCTGCCCGCCACTGAAACCCCGGGATCCAAATGCACTTGTGACGTTCGCTCACAGGCACTGAGCATTCGACCGCTGATGCTCTCCTAGGTTCAGATACTTTAATAATAAATTTAAATAACCTAAGTAATTTTGCCGCAAGGATTTGCACGCACTTCACACCTGCAAAATGTAATAATCTTCTACGAGACTGGATGGGATTCAATCCAAACCCCATGTTTGCGGACAGACCAATCGATGGTGAGTAGTTTTGTTTGCATAGGTAATAGCTTAATTTCCGACGGCTGGGCTAGACATGAGATCACTTCGCGAATCGGGAAGACTGGTGCAGTTTTCACCAACCTCTGACTCTCATGGTGCCAGCGCGACGTCAGTTTGTTTGTCAAGAGCAGATTCCACACTGCAGCAGTGCGATCCCTCCTGCATGCCGCCTCCCTGGATGGGGACACCGGGATCCAATTCACCAATGTTTAGTAAGAATGGCAGACAAGGTCCACTCGCGCAGCCACTAGAACTCAGGCATCAAAACTGTCGCCTTCAGAGAGTAGCTATCCAGTTCCCAAACTAACTGAACATGTCAGCACCTCCAATGCTTGGCTGCGTTTCCCACCATCTCCCATTCCTCAATGACCGAAACTGTCACAGATAGAATCAACTTACTCAAAGTAAACGGATTTATAGCTGGTGAATTCAAGCGATTTGCGGGTCCTGCTAAAGGACTGTATGAACATACATCGGTAGCATAAATGATACATCTGGATATGGTAGGTGATGACAACCACTAATGTTGAGAGTGCTTTGGTCTTTTTGAGTTGAAGCTGGTGACACGCACTAAAATGTTGTTTTGGATGAGCAGCCGCCAAGTTAATTTCAAAGAGGAGTGTTCATTTAACTTTTGCTTCTATCATTTTTTTGATTTTTCTCAGATGTATACTTGTTATGGATTTTAGGAAGCCATATTGCGGAAACAGATGAACTCGGGCGTTTTCAGTACGTGCATCACTAAAGCCAGCCGAGGATCGTGTTCTAAATACAGGGTCTTTTTATTACAATTCAGCCGTGGACGATCCCCCTACTGACATTTGGAACTGAAGATGCCATACCGAAAATGAATTCTTGAATACACATGTTCCTCCACTCTTATAGGAAATGATCGCACAGTGAACAGTACGGTGCTTGGAGGTGTTGGAAATGATGTTTAGAAACAGGTCTTACGAATAAGTATTATTCACTCTAAGTCGGGTTGTTATGTTGATCTTCAATTTTGTGGACCATAAATTAATTTTCATATTGAGTTATCCATTTCTGAGGGTCAGTGCAGAGTTTGGCCCAGAGAGTTTTGTGAAAAGATGGGCATTTCGTAAGACAGTCGGAGACAGAGAGTAAGTTGACGCAATCTCATCCTATGGAAGCCCCAAATTTAACACGCCTAAGCAAACTTTCACCATACATCTCCTCTCATCCAGAATTCAGGCGACTTCACTTGTTCGATATCGGATCACCAACAACTCACCTCCCATTCTACGATCCACGTAAATCGTGCCTGACAACTTCTACTTCGCAAGCTAAGGTTTGCATGCATACTAGTTGAAAATACTCCACATTATTCAACAACATACCTAATTTCAGTACGATTATGAAAGTACCATCAGAGGTTGTCTTAGACGAGTGTATCTAGTAGTGTTTGACCGCGGCTGAGAAGGATTGGACCAGGCATATTATTTAGCACTCACCCTTTATCATTATCAGGCTGTTTTCGAATAATCTGGGCAGACGCGCCAATGAAAGTTGAAATGACAACAATAGAAACACAAGTCTTTGCGAACGGGAAATAGCCACCGCTTGAAGCAATCGATTTCTATACAGGAGTTTGACCATTTCTAGGAGGCCTCAGTGTCTTTACTGATAAGCTCAATAGATTGTATACTGTCAACCCAATAAAACTAAGGCACAGTTTTGACCCTATCTACCGCATAAATTGTAGTTAGTAGGCCCAGTAGAAGATAGCACTGGCGCCACGCAAGCGCACAAGGTAAAATAGATAGAGGGAGCTGATCTCTGGCTCTTTTGGGCATTAAATAGTGCACTTCTATTTAATCCGTTTTAACTTTCGTCCCTGAGTCTTACACAGACTAACTCACCACATTCTCTTATTCTGTGATGTTTGTTAACGTTCGTGATTACCACATCCTGTATATAAATTATCAACTGTACATTTTGGAAGGCCGAACTGAAGGTAGTTAGCACGCTCCCGGTTGGTAGAACCTGGGACCATGTACACAAAATCAAACGGAGCAAATGTAACAGAATGTCAGAGATCAAAACAAAATCAGTGAACACGGGAGAAGATAAACGGGACTCCAAATGACCCTAAAGATGAATACCTAACGTCAGTGGAGGACTCATCAACTGCGTATTATGTACCAGATAAGAAAGACAAAATAAATTTTGGAATTGTTGACATTTTGATGAGGATAACACGACTGCCTAAGCAGCGTCAGATGGGTGAGGTGGTGGAAATCGCCAAATTTCCAAATGTGAATATACAGATGTAGAACTAGCGAGCGCGCGAACGGCAGTTCAAGATCATACAAACAGTCGCGAGGGGGTGCTTTTTTGAAGAGGAACCATCAGGTCTGAAATACAGGTCTGAAATGGCCCAGGTCTGAAATACATGGCCCAAGCCGACCAGAAGTTTACGTGATCTTAGTCCTTGGCAGAATTATCTTTAAGCTTACTAGTTCCCACAGACAAAAGAAAATCTGCAAAATACACAACAGGAAGCACTTATTGCAATGCCATAAACCAAATAATACTAGACGCAAAGGGGAGGTCATAAATTTAGTCCTCTGCACAAAACCACCAGCCATAAGGCCTGGGCACATTCACAAGCGGACAAATTTTTTACCGATATTCATAAATAATCTAGTTTGCTAGTCGAAATGTTTGTTCCCCATTTGCCCTAAATCCTGGTCTAACGAAAATTCTGGGCCAAAATATAAAACATACGCAGCTTTAAATCTGTCGAGTGTTGACTTAACCTTACCGGCATGATGGTAGAAAGCTATTCATTTAAGTGGTCTCATCTTGGACAAATTCTTTTTCTTATTAACGGAATTAAAGATGTGTGAGTACGTAAATTCTTGATGAACTAGGCATACTGGTAATGATGGCGCTCCACTGCGCTTGAAGAAACTTGACAAAAATCATGGAAATGGTCTTTGGAAATCATTAGGAAATCGCTGATGCGCTTTGCGTTTTCTCTCCTTCCCCATTGTACCCAGAATTATATGGAATGAGCAAAGTGACCCACTGGCCTTTTCTGCTTGAAACTGCCTCGCCAGGACTACGTCTGCTCATTTTGAAGCAATGGAGTTGGAGATACTTCGAAAAAGCCACAAATATGGTTTGTCAGCAGTTTTTGTTCATTTCCATTTATCATAATGTGAAACTTAATTGGTTTCTTGTCAAAAATGGTAAAAGTATTTTGCCACATTGCTAAATAGAGGATACCTGGGTGTCGAAAATCAACCTGAGCCAAACTTTATTGTTGGGAATATACTGCAATACCAATTTCCCAAATGATTATATCTTCATAACTGAGGTCGTAAAATTATATATAGAAATAAGATTAGGCGTAACTTCCTTATCAAAATATTATAGATGATAACGAGCTAAAACATGATGACTGGCCTCTGGTACAAAAAGGCATGTGCATTTACGTGACCAAGTGCATTTTTTGTCTGTTTTTGTGGCCAGTATTTTTAACTTGAGAGGGTAATATCAATCAGGTTAAATGCCTCGAGAGGTTAGAAGAAACTTTCAGAACGACTTTTGGAGAAGATATTAGTAAATCACGTGAATCATGTATGTCTTCTGTCACGTTTTCGATGAAAGTCCTTATTGTGAGATGGAGGAAAAACAACGAGCAAACCTCACAAAAGGGCTTGGATAGATTGCCCAAACATTTTCGGTTTAAAATCAGGGTGATTTCCTACAGGATCACAATGAAGAACGATGGAGTGAGAGTAAACAGTTGGACAACACAAACGGTGCTTTGATCGTAGGTACACTGAGGAGAGCAAGTGTTGGAATGGAACAAGTCTAGTGTACTGACATATGCGTGGTGGAGCTAGGCACTTATTTTTGTTCACTCATTTGTCGATGAGTACAATGCTCATAGGGGTGCCAGGTACTCGGTTGAAAACGGTTCATTCATGAATCCACATACCGTACGTTTGACAGGACTTAAGACAGACTTGGTACAGTGAACCCTACCAGTGTTATGTAAGACGAGGAAATTATTTATGCCCCCACGAGAGAAAGAAAATGACACTTGGAACAGGACGTCTGGTTAAAATGGAAAAATGTAAGAAGACACGACCTTTTCTATTCTTTTTTATTGCTTTGTTCAAACAAAAGCATCTTAAGGAAGAGAATTTTATTAACCTAGGCCACGCCCGTTATATAGCTATAAAATTGCTAACTCAAATATGGCTGTCTGTGATCGTTATTCACCAGATATGTAATCTGTACGTTTATACAATTTAACTGAATTATTTTCCACACAGAAAAATCGTATTTGTTTGTTGCCAGTTTGGGCGGTTTAAAGAATGAGGAATATTGAAACACGTTTTTTTTGAAACCAAGCGTGCATAAGGGACCAGTTTTTAAGTTATAAATGCAGAATATTTTTTACTGTGTCTTATTTTGACACGAAGAACAAGTATGACTTGGTCAGCCTTTTACCGGAGAGCATCGCATAAATACTTATATCTTACCGGATGACTATCGATTTGTAAATGGAAATGATCTGCTTTGCTGGCCGACTGTTGGTTTATACAATTTAACTGAATTATTTTCCACACAGAAAAATCGTATTTGTTTGTTGCCAGTTTGGGCGGTTTTAAAGAATGAGAATATTGAAACACGTTTTTTTTGAAACCAAGCGTGCATAAGGGACCAGTTTTTAAGTTATAAATGCAGAATATTTTTTACTGTGTCTTATTTTGACACGAAGAACAAGTATGACTTGGTCAGCCTTTTACCGGAGAGCATCGCATAAATACTTATATCTTACCGGATGACTATCGATTTGTAAATGGAAATGATCTGCTTTGCTGGCCGACTGTTGCATTGACGGCTTGATGGCAAAGTTGTGTATTTTGACGGCAATCGCATCTACCATAGTATAAGCGGTATAAGCTTGTATTCACCAACGAGTTGTCTTTTTTGAAAGCGCATGTATAATCTATAATCATTCACAACTTGTCTCATGGCCGCTCAGCGCATATTGTATAGAGTTCAATCTCACCTGTTTGTTCACATATTTCTCATCTTTATACGCGTTAGTTTGGTGCAAAATTCTTAACCGCTTACCTAATTAGTATTGGTTATGCGAAAAGATTTGGACATGTTCTTTGGAGAATTTGTCCTCTAAGCAGGGAAAACATATGCCGATACGCTCAAAATGATTTTATGATACTTCTCTCCTATTTAGAACCAGTTCATGAATCATTTTGAGGAGCATTACGCAAATTGCGAAACTTCAGAGAGTTTAGCTTCCGGAAACTTTAGGCCATCAATTGAAGAACAAAACGTCCTGCCGCGTACAACATCGATGTGATTAG